AGACAAACAGGGCCATGGGTATGGCTTAATGAACACAGCTTGCCTAGCATGGGGGAGGACGTGGTCCCCATAGATCCCTAAAGGGATAGGGGAGGTTAGGCAAAAGACCTGAATAGACATTTTTCCAATGAAGGTTTAGAAATGGCCAACATACACAGGAAAAGATGCTCAATATCACAAGTCATTAAAGAAATGTAAATCAAGATCACAGAAAATACTCATTTAGCCAGGAATGGTGGTGGTACATGCTGTTAATTCCAGTACTGGGGAGATTAAGACAGGAGGCTAGAAGGTTCAAGGCCTGTCTGGGTTACATAGTGAGACTCTGTCTCAAGAACAACAACAAAAGTTAACATTCAGGGTCTGGAGAGATGGCTCAGTGGTTAAGAGCACTGGCTGCTCTTGCAGAGGACTCGGGTTTGACTCCCAGCATCCACATGGCAACTAACAACCGTCTGCAACTCCAGTTCTGGGGGATCTGATGCCTTCTTCTGACCTCTGAGGGTATTGCATGACACTGGTACACTTACACACATGCAAGCAAAACACTAGTAAACATAAAAAATAAAAATAAAATATTAAAAAGTTAACAATTCATATCAATTAAGATGGCTATAAAGCAAAAACAACAGTAAAACCAGTGTTGAGAATGAAATAGATAAATCAAAACCTTGTTCATTGCTGGTGGGATTGTAAAATTATGCAGCCACTGTGGATAAATCAGAATTAAAATTAGAATTACTAGATGTAATTCAATACCATCCAGTAGTACTACTAAGAATATACCAAAAGAATTGAAAGTACTCAAATACTTAAAAAAATTTTTTTTTACTTTATTTTCATATTATGTGTATGCGTGTATTGTCTGCATGTATGCAAGTGCACCCATGTCATGAAATGCCTGTGGAGGATAGAAAGGGCATCGGATCTCCTGGAAGTGGAGTTACAGATGGTTATTAGCCACCACGTGGATGCCGGGCTTTGAATCCAGGTCATCTGCAAGAGCAATCAGTGCTCTTAACTGCTGAGCCATCTTTCCAGCCCCAAATACTCACTTTATATGCATCATCATAGTGCCACTATTCATGACAGAAGGTAGAGATGATAGTCCACAAATCCATCAGTAGATAAGCAAAATACAGTTCATAACCACAGTGGGATATTACTTAGCCATAAGAAAGAATAAAGTACTTATGCTGGATAGCTTTAGTGTCAACTTGATACACCTGGGTTGAGGGAGCCTCAACTGGGGAATTGCCTCTATTGAACTGGCCTGTGGCCATGTCTGTGGGGCATCTTCTTGATGAGTGATGTGGGAGAGCCCAGCCCACTGTGGGTGGTGCCACCCTTGGGCAGGTGGGCCTGTGATGCATAAGAAAGCAGGTTGAGCACGGGCCAGGGAGCAAGCCAGTAAGCAGTGTTCCTCCACAGCCTATGCTCCAGCTCCTACCTCCAGGTTCCCGCCCTGAGTTCCGACCTTGGGCTCCCTGATGAGCTTGGGCTCCCTGATAAACCCTTTCCTCCCCCAGTTGGTAGTGGTCAGAGTGTTTTGTCACAGCAATGAAGAAACAAACTAGGACAGTACTGATACTCTAATGTAATACTATAAGGAAGTACTGATGCTACAGTATGAATAAAACTGGAAAACAATACACCAAACAAGATTTTCAGACACAAAAGGTCACATATTTTACAATTCTATTTATCCACACAGGCGAATCCAGAGAGACAGAAAGCAAACTGGTTATTGCCAGAGGCCAGAGAAGGACATGGTAATGTCTGTTTAATAGGTTTTCCGTAAGGGCTGGAGCGATGACTCAGCAGTTAAGAGCTTGGCTGTTCTTGGAGAGGACCCAGGTTTGGTTCCCAGCACCCAGCTTACAACCATTTGTAACTCCAGTTTCAGGAGAACACAGGTAGTGTACTTACATACATGCAAGCAAACACTCATGCACATAAAATAAAAATATTTTAAAAATAGATTTTTGATAAAGAAAATGTTTTGGAACTAGAGATGTAGTCATTGTCTAACAATGAGATGTTCTAATTTGGGGTGTTACCACGCCACATTACAATTACCTGAATAAAAGACCCTGACTCTTGACTTCAGTTTTTTAAGAGTGGGCCTAAACTTGGAGGACACCCGTTTTCCCAGATATTTCTTGGAACTGTGCCCTGGAATAATGCTTTCAAACTGTGTCCTCCAATCACACCTCAACCATAATTTTATTCAAAACCATTTCTCCAGCTTCAGTTGGGGAGCTACAAATTGAATCCACTCTCATCTCATCAGACAATCTTGCCTTTTCATCCCTAGTTCTTTCTCAATCTTCTTGTTTTCAGTGAGGCTGCATGATGCATGCCCTGCCTTTCAGTGCTTTGATATGTTAATTCTCAAGTATACCCATATTTATTCATTATTCATTTATTTTATATGTGTGTATTGCCTGCATGTAAAGCCCTTGGAGGTCAGATGAGGGCACTGAATCTCTTGGAACTGGAGTTATGGATAGTTGCTAGCCACCATGTGGGCCTTGGGAACCGAACCCAGGTCCTCTGCAAGAGCAGCTAGTGCTCTTAACCACTGAGCCATCTCTCCAGCCCCATTCATTATTTTTGGGTGGACCAGCAAACTGAGGTTCCAAGGAATCAAGATTAGGTGCCCAGGTCACAAGAGCACATGGTTCAGTGACTTTTATGGTTTTTTGGTGCAAGGTTAAAAGTCACTAGTCCAGATTCTAGTTCATAAGTCATCCCTACACCAAATGCCACTAAATTTTACATTTCATTTTACAATATCTAAATTTTACTCCAACTTAAAAAAAAAACCAGATTTTTGGCCAGGTGTGGTGGCACAGGCCTTTAATCCCAGCACTTGGGAGGCAGAGGCAGGCAGATCTTTGTGAGTTCGAGGCCAGCCTGGTCTACATAGTGAGTTCCAGGACAGCTGGGGCTATAGGGAGACCCTGTCTCAAAAAGACAAAAAAAAAGAAAAAAAAGATTTTTATATGATGTGCATGGGTGTTTACCTGTATGTATGCATGTGTACCATGCGCATACCTAGTGCCCATAAGGGCGAGAAGGGGGTGTTGGATCTCTCAGAAGTGGAGTTATAGAAGGATATGGGCCATCTGATGTGGATGGTAGGACCCAAACCTGAGTCCTTCGCAAGACCAGCAAGTACTCACTTCCGCCAACTTTAAAAAAGATTTATTTATTATTATTATTATTATTGTTATTATTATTTTGGTCTTTTTGAGACAGGGTCTCCCAGTAGTCCCAGCCGGCCTGGAACTTGCTATGTAGGCCAGTCTGGCCTCAAACCTCCGCAGTGCTGGGATTAAAGGCATATGCCACCATGTCCAGCTCTTATCACAGCTTTAAAAAAAGGAAAAATTGGGAAGAAACATAATTGACTCAAACATCATACAAAGATGTGGAGTCCCTACTGGGTAGCTTCAGGGAACACAATGGAAGAAATAGGACAACTCTTGACTTAAGGAAGGACTTTGTATTGGGCTGGTACGCTGTGGCATGGGCTGCCTGATCAGGAAGTAAGATTACAGAAAAGGGTTCAAATTAGGAGAGCTCCCAAAGAAGTTATTGGGAAAATTTCTATGAGGTACGGTGGGAGGTTTTTTTGAAAAATCAATCTATCTTCTCATGGCTGCAGTTACCTAAGATTCAGTTTGACTATTAGCAGTATACAAACGAGGTCCTAGGGTTAAAGTATTCCTTCAGTTTCGGTTCTTCTAAAAGCCCAACCCTCTCAAAAGTATGATGAAAAAAGGCTGAACTTGGGCTGGGAATATAGCTCAGTGGTATAGCATGTGTGAGGCCCTAAATTCCCGGCACCAAAGTGGGTAGTGGTGGGGGTGGGAAGTTGGCGCAGAAGCCGACCAGTCTATCAAGAGTAAATTTTCGGCAGCTGAGACAATGGCCCTCTGGATTCTGAGTTCCAGTCACTGCAGCTTTCTGCTGGCCATTAGGGGGAAGATTGCATACTTACCCACCAAACATGTTGGCATCTGTTATATACTAGATACTTTAACAACTCTTAGGTGTAAATAAGGACCAACGGAGAGTGCCAAGTACCCATGAACATGATTTCCAAACTCTCAATACAAGTGACGACAAAACTCAATCGAAGTATCGTGCCAACCAAATTTAAAAGCTCACGAGAGGGGCTGACAGAAAGGCAGTCGACTTGGATAATCCTTTGGACGAGAAGCTCCACGAACTGTGTGGCGTGTTTACGCAGGGCAAGTTGGAAGTCACCACCCGCTTTTCAAGAGCCCAGGGTTCGCCTCAAGACAAACCCCAGCGGGCGGAGATCCCAGGGGAAGAGACCAGCCCATTTCAGGAGGATCCCGGGGATGCCGCGTTCCTCGAGGAGTACACTTGCAACTCCCTCGGGCGTTCCGGGGGAAGCCCAAATTCACCGCCCCCTGCCCAAGCGGCCCTGCCATCCAAGGCGCCTCCGAGGATTGCGCAAAAGTCTTTCCCTCCCCCGCCTGCTCGGTGGCATGTATCTAAAATTCCCATCTGCACAACATAAACAGGAAACGTGCAGCCAAAAGCTCTAGCGGTGCAAATTCCAAGCTTCCAGCCGAGGGCGGGAGAATCTCATCTGTGCCGCTAGTAGGAGGCAGCGGCAAAGAGCAAACTCTCCAAGTGACCCCGCACCCCTCACGCCCTTTCTCTCAAATGCAAAAAGGGGGTAGAGAAGGCGGAAGGAAGGACCCCCTGCCCCAGGAAAATAAGGAACAGGGAAACCGGCGTCGAGGCTGCAGCCGGGCCTCGGAGCGCGCGGCCTGGGTGGGGAGGCGCGTGGCGAGGGCGCGCCCTGCCGCCTACTTCCCGAGTCCCCCCGGCCCCAGCGGCCGAAGAGCGCGGCGTGGGCTCGCGAACGCCGGACTACAGATAGCCGAACCCGCTCTGGTGTGGGTGTGGGTAGGGGTGGGGGCGGGGCGGGCGCCCGGCGCGACGCAGGCGCACTACGGGCCTCGGGTGTTAAACATGGCTGAAGCGCCGTTGCTGCCGTTACTGCCGCTGAGTGGAAAATGCTGAGCCCTCCCGGGCCGGGTGGGCGGCGGCGGCGGCGAGGGCGGCGACGGGGACCCGCTTCCCAGGCGCGGCGGCGGCGGCCATGGCCCGGCTGGCTGACTACTTCATTGTGGTAGGCTACGACCACGAGAAGCCAGGTAAGGGTGTGGGGCGGGCGCCGCCCCCGGGCCTCGCCTCCGCCCCCGGCGGCTGTCCAGTGGGCTCCGCGGGGCCGGGCGTCGAGGCCGAGAGGCGGGGAGGCGGAGGGCCGGGCCCCCAACGGAGGAGCGGCCCTCTGGCCGCCCGGGGCCGGGCCTGGAAGCGCGGCCGGGCCTCGTTGGCTGGTGGTGGGCGTGTGAGGGAACCGCTGGCCGGCGGGGCAGGCTAGGCCGCGTCTGCGCGCCTGGGGCTGGCGGCCTGGGCCGGGCGGGCACGAGCCCGGGCGCCGTCGCGCGCGCTGCGGATTGTTGCACCAGGGGCAGCGCCCTCGTGCCGGGCTGGACGGGCGGGAGCCAACTGTGCTAAGTTCCTAGGGATAAACTTGCATCCTGAGTGAGTAACGAGTGACGCAGGGGGCTGTCCTCTCGGAAAGGAAGTGCAGAGAGTCCAGCGCCGCCGCCCGCCCCGATCTCTCCGGGGCCCCCGCCGAACGCCTGGCACAAAGGCCAAAGGATCCATGCACTTTGCAGCATTGCTAGGAAGTGGTATCTGTTCTTTCGGGACACGTGTGACGGGCATGTCGGAATGAAATGACTCAAGTGGAGAGAGCCCGCCCACCGCTGCAGGTGCTCTCGTCTGGCGATAATGTCTTCTAGTTCTTTCTTCGTCAGAAAAATGTCTTCACAAGGAGTCATTTGGCAGATGCATTACTTTTTATACTTTAATTGGCGAATTAAAGTACACTTGCACAACCAAGAGTGTCGAGGGTTCATGCAGGTTGATTTTCGTGTTTGTACCTATATTACTGTATAGATAAGCATAATGTAATTCCAAGGTGAGCTGGGAAAGCTTTTATTTCAGGGTAATTCCCGTCTCCCAATCGCAAGGAATTTTAGTTACCAGCTCTCCAGCCTCATCATTTGGCCGAGGAGAAGTTGAGATTGTATTTTGCTGATGGTTAGACGTTGATAGCACCAGAGTGCCATTGTTCTACCCACTCTTCATCCACTGTCCCTTTCATTATTCATCCCCTATGAACTTCCTCCAGAGAAGGAATCCTTCCTTTATTGCTCACTACTACTTAATTCAGGTCAGTTGTTAGAAGGAGTTGCAGGGCCAGGAACCCATGTAAAGAAGATGGAAGGTGAGAACCGATTCCACAGTTCTCTTCTGACCTCCATGTGTTCTCTGTGGCACACATGCCTCCCCCAAGATCATGTGTATACTCACAATAGTAATAAGTAGATAAATACATAAATAAAAGAGAAGGATTTGGGCTGTATTTAGAGAATCATCTGGCTGCTCCAAAATGTCATGTCTTTTTTTTAGTCATTCTGCATAGTCTATTGTCTTACAAGGATTGACAGTATGGAGAGTCAGTTTGGTTTTTTGTCTGTTCCCTTTTTAGTTACATTGTTCTTTTCCCCACAGTTCTGAAGCAATCAGAAACTTGAAGAAAAATTGCAAGCATAGTACAAAATGGTTTTTTTTTTGCACACTTTGAGAGGAAGCTGCTGACCTCATGGCCTGTCATTCAGAATTGGTTAGTGTGAATTTTATACAAACAAGAACATTGCCCTATGTGAAATCACAGTACAGTCACCCAAGTAGGAAATTCACGTTGACATAGTTCAAGTCTTGTTGATTGTGCTTTTAATTTCATTACTGGCAAAAGGAGTCAGTATAGTAACGTGTTGCATTCTTCTGTTACACCTCTTCAGTCTTTCATGACTCGACAGGTCAGTTATTTTGTAGGCTGCCCCACAGTTTAGGATTGTCTGCTCTCAAGGTTAGATTCGTACACTGGGTAGGTGTATCACAAAAGGGAGGCTCACTGTTCTGTTGGGTGGCACATACTTGTACTTCATCATTGCTGATTTTCACTTAGATTACTTGTGATCAGTGTCTGCTAGGCTTCTCCACTATAAAGTTAATGATTTTTGTGATGAGTACCTTGGAACTAAGTACTCACCAAATTTTTAATGGATTCATCATACGCTGGTACCTGTATGGATTCAAGATTTACATATGTTCCTGTTAATTATATTTCTTTTTAAAAAATATTTTTATTTTATGTGTATGAGTATATTGCATGTATGTGTGTAAGTGTATCCGTGTCATGCAATGTCTGTGGAGGTGAGAAGAGGGTGTTGGATCCCCTGGAACTGGAGTTACAGATGGCTGTTAGCCACCATGTGGGTGCTGAGACTCGAACCCGGGTCCTCTGCAAGAGCAGCCAATGCTCTTAACTGCTGAACCATCTCTCCAGCCCCCAATGAATTATATTTCTATTGTTTGATTTAGTATGTTGGGGTTGCTATAACAAAATACCATAAGCTGGGAGACATAAACATGGACTTTTCACAGTTGTAAAGGCTGAAAAGTCTAAAATTAAAGCTCCAAAAATTGGAAGTCTAGTTGGGGGCGTGCTTGCTTATAGCCATGTTCTCATTTTAACCTCACATGGCTAAAAGGGCCACGTGGACTTAATAGGAACTCTAAGAAACAGTATATTTTAAAATGAAATAGAGATCTTTTTTAAAGGTTAAAAACTCATTCAATTTTATGGCTTACAGGGGTGATACTGAGTTCAATATTGTATAACTGTATTAATTTAACAGCAAACCTAAAAAATTTATAGCCACTTTTGAAAGAGATGTATCTTTGCTCGGAAACTGTTATTGAGTATGTTAAAGCTGTAATGAAATGCTGCTTCTAAAAAAATAAAAAAATATATATTTAAATTAAAACAAAAAGTGGGGGAACTAACCTGTTTATGAGGGTTTCACCCCCATGACCTAATTACCTTCCAAAGATCTCATCTCCTAGTTCTGATACTTTGGGTGTTAGGATTTAAATAGGAATTTTGGGAGAACACAAATATTTAGGCCACTTATTTTGATGTTTAAATTATTTCATCATTTGACCAGTGAGAACCCATACGTCTGGCTTCTGTGCTCTGTGGACATGTCTCCATCGTTCTCTTTTGGTTTTTTGAGGCAGGGTCCCCTCCTCTTCATTTCATCTCCTCCTCTGTCTCCTCCAGCCCTGTTAGGATCTAAGAGCCCAAACCAGGTTGCCATGACAGAGGGCCTCCCCAGCTTGCTCTGGCTCTTGACTCTTCATTTTGGCTTCCCCACTGTCTGTGGACACACTCAAGCTGTGATCTATGCTGGGCTGCTCTTGTGAAAGCCTTTTCCTCACTCATTTCCTTTGCATCTCAGTGCTCCATGCCAGTTGGACTCCATGTTTGGCCTTGGCCATTCTCTTATCACACGGTTCCTCCTCCCACTCCCTGCAGCTCCTTGAGATACTACATGCTTCACCTCTAAGCTGTGACTACTCTCCTTCCTTCACCAAAGAAAGGGAAGATTTGATTTCTTTGCTTTTTTTCTTTGTGAAACCTAGAATGTTGTATATATTGTAATCTCTGTTTGGGATAGTTTTATGTAGTTTATTCAAGCGTAATTTAGGTACAACAAATTTAATGCCCAGTTAAGTGATTTTTGGCAAATATATACACTAGCACTAGGTGTGGTGGTACACACCTTTAATTCCAGTGCTCGGGGGGCAGAGGCAGGCGGCTCTTTGTGAAATCGAGGCCAGCCTGGTTTATATAGAATTTCAGGCTAGCGGTAGCTATAGGAGACCCTGTCTCAAAAAGATCAAAGTGTACACACACACACACACACACACACACACACACACCACACACGCATTAGTACGGTCACTGCCACAATCAAGATATAGAACATTTCCATCCCTACAAAAAGTTCTCTCATGCCCTTTTGCAGTTTCCTCCCTAGCCTCTGGTGGTTGCTGAACTGCTTTCTGTCTGTATGTTTTTGTCTTTTCTGGAGTAGTATATAAATAGAATCATAGTTTTTTTTTTTATGCCTGGCTTTTTTCACTTAGACTCACAGAATGAGACTTATCTATATTGGATTTGTTAGTAATTGTCCCTCTGCCTCCCTTTTTCCCATTGGCACTGAGGATTGAACCAGGCACTGACCTGGGTTCAACTAAGCATATGCTCTCCCACTGAACTCCCTGCCACATTATTCCTTTCCTTTTTCCTTTTCCCTTTCTCCTGACATGCAGGCTGGCCTCAGACTCCTCTGTAACCAAGGGTGACCTTGAACTTTGGATCCTTTTGCTTCTCCAGTGCCAGGATTATAGGTCTGCATCACAAAGCCTGGTTTATGTAGTGCTAGAGATTTAATTTAGGGCTTCCTGTATGCTGGACAAGCAGTCTGCTAAGTGAGCTGAATCCCCAGCCTCAGACATACATTGTTTCTTTTTATTGCTGGAATAATACAGTTTGTTCATCCCTCTTCAGTTGGTAGACATTTGTGCTTCCAGATTTTGGTGATTATGAATAAAATTGATCTGAGTATAATTGAGGTAGAGCTATCATTTGAATATTTCAGTAGTTGGGACAGGAGTACAAACAGGTGAAGATTTAATTATCAATAGCCAGCTGATTGTCAGATCTGAAGAAAAGAATAAGTAACTAGGCAGGATTACATGCAGGGGTCAGGGCAGTGGCCCTAATTTCAGTTGAGGACCTGATGACTCTCCTTCAGCTCCTTTTCAGGGTCTTGTGTGAGTAATCACAGCTACTCTCGTTAAGATGCTAACAGTCTTGTCATGCCCTGAAGGACAGTGTTGCACGGTACCATTCAAGTAGTCTTATTTTTATTTATTTATTTATTTTAAAATTAAAGATATTTATTTATTTATTTATTTAGAGACAGGGTCTCCCTGTAGTATCAGTTGGCCTGGAACTCACTATGTAGACCAGGCTGGCCTGGAACTCACAGAGATCCACCTGCCTCTGCCTCTCAAGTGCTGGAATTAAGGGCATGCAACCACCACACCCGGCAAAGTAATATTTATTTTTATTTTTTATGTGTATGAGTGTTTTGCTTGCACATATGTAAGTGCACCTTATGTGTGCAATGCCTGCACAGGCCAGAAGAGAGCATTGGATCCTCTG